ATGGTAATTATTGATAATAGGAGTAATCGTGATAGTGATAATAATGATACTTATATAATATAAGTAATAGTGATAGTGATGATAATGATGATATTAATGATGATATTAGTAATAATGATTATGATGATAATAGTAACTAATGATGATTATAATGATGATAATAAGGATAATCATGATAACAATGATAACGTTAATGATGATAATGATAATCATAGTAATTGTGATAATATTAGTAACAATAAAAATAGTAATAAACAATAATGATTATGAAAATAATAATGATAACAATATAATAATAATAATAAAGAAAATGTTAATAATATCATTAATATCAATAATAGTTATCATACTGATAACAATGATAATGATGCTAATGACAGTAATGATGATTACGTTCATGGTAATAATGGTAATAATTACCATTACAAGCAATGAAAATTATGATATCAATAATAATTATTTATTACAATAAAAGCTTAAACAATAATAATAATATTACTATTACCCTACTACTAATTATGATAATAGAAATAATAATGATAATAGCATAAATGATAATAATAATGATAATGATAATAATAATGATAACAATAATAATAAAATAATGATGATAATAATGATGATAATAAAAACAACAATAATAATAACAATAATAATAATAATAATAATAATAATAATAATAATAAATAATAATAATAATAATAATAACAATAAATATTAATAAGGATAATAATAAAAACAGTAATGATAACAATGATAATGATAATGACCTTAATAGTACTAATGTTAATGATAAAGTAATGATGATGATGATAATATTATCAATACTTATAACAAGAATAACGTTAATAATAGTAATAGTAATGATAATAATAATGACAATAATAATAATTACGGAATTAACAATAATATAATAACAACAATAATAGGAAGAACAACAATAGTAATGAAAATGATGATAATTAGATCAATGATAGCAATAATTATCATAATAATAAAAATGATAATTAAGATGATAATGATCATGATAATAATAGTGATAATAACAATAATAATGATATAATAATGATAGTAATGATAACAATAATGATAAAGACGATAATGATAATAGTAATGATAATAATGATAATAAAAATGATGATAATAATTGCAATAGTAGTAGCAGTAGCAATATGATAATAATAATAACATTAATGATAATGATAATAATGATTATAATTATGGTATCAATATTGGTAGCAATAATAATGATTGCAATGATAATACTGATAATAATGATAATATCAATGACGATAATGGCAATGATAATAGTAATAATGATAATGATAATGATAATAACAATAATAAAAATAATAACAAGCTAATGATAATGATAATAATGACGATGGCAACAGTAGCAAGAATTATAAAACACAGTAATGATTCAAATTATTATGATAATAAAAATGATTATGAGGATGATAATAATGACAATAATAATGATGATAAAAGTGATATTTAATAATAATAATGCTATAATAATAATAGATGATAATAAGAGTAAGAATAGCAACAATAGTAATAATAATAACGACGATAATAACAATAACAATGATAATGATAATAACAATAATAATAATCATAATAATAAAAATAATAATGATAATAATCTGAATCATAAAATGATTATAATGGTGATAATAACATCGATAATAATATGAAATTATAACAAATATTTAAATGATAATGACAGTAACATCAGCAATTATGATAACAATAGTATGACATTGATAATAATAAAAAGAACAAAACATACACAATGATAATAATGAATAACAATGATAATAATAATAATGATAATAACAATTACATACAATAACAATGATAAGAATTACGATAATGATAATAATGATGATAATGATGTCAATAATGATGATAATGATGATAATGATAGTTTTCATGATAATAATAATTATGGTAATAAATCATCCACCGAGCTTTCTAACACACTAACACACACACACACACAGTTACACCCATACACGCACACATATAATCAGACACATGCACAAATAAAGACAGACACACACACATGCACTTCCTATCAGTTTCACATTGGTGTTTTTTTTTTATTATATTCTGTTCTGATTCACGGATTCACGATACGTCTGGCTTCCCTCTATTTTTCGAGGAGAATTCCAATAATACTGACCTATAATGACCTAGAATTCCATTTGTGACGAGGACTTGGCACTGGGATCAGGACATAAGCACAAGGGTATGAACTAGGATACAAGATCTCTAACACTGTCACCCTCATTCACAGCAGATGCCTCCTCGGTGACAGAGTGCCAGGTCCCTGTCTCTATCTGTATGTCCAAACGCATTTTTATGATCATTCTCTTTCTATTGTCCTCTCTCTCTCTCTCTCTTTCTCCTTCTCTCTCTCTCTCTCTCTCTCTCCTCTCTCTCTCTCTCTCTCTCTCTCTCTCTCTCTCTCTCTCTCTCTCTCTCTCTTCTC